CAGTGCAAGAGTTGGGCAGGTACCTAACCTCTATGCTGTTAGAATCTACTTTCCTATCGATAACCCTGAGTTATTATTTACTATGTTTCATCTGTGCTGCTCTTAACTCCAAATAGCCAGCCCTCAGGGCCATGTTCTATTGAACTCCCCTAACCTATGGTGTCTTCTCCTTTCTCCTCCTGTACCTTCTCCCCCCCACCCCCCACCAACCTGTGGGGAAGTGAGCTGTGAAGGCCGGAAAGCCTGGTAGAAGAGTCCTAGAAACCCTGGCACCCTGGCTTCTAGGCCGCTGGGACAGGAGGCCCTTCGGACCTTCCCTATCTGACTCTCTCAGCTTCAAGCTTTCCACAGTCCCTCCCACAGAGAGGTCCATGGTCAGTGATCATGTAGGCATAGCACCTTCATGCAGATGAGGCATTCCCAAGCTCTCAGACCAAGCCAATAGGGGTTACCTGCTGCCACCCCGAAACTGTATATATTGACCAAGCTCAAAAGTAAAGGTGTGTGAGATCCTTCCTGCTGTCTGAGAGCTTTTGTCTAGGTTCCTCCCCTTGTCACAGGGCAGCCTGCGCACTTCAAAGAGTTGTAACACTTCTCCCCTCTCTGCCACCACTGCTGAGGCACTGAGAAGTGGTTGGTGGCAGGGCAGCAGATGACTCTCCCTGTCTGCTCACCACGGGCTGCCTTCGGACAGAGGAAGCAAGGCAGTTGCCACACCCTGTCCTCAGCCCGGCCAGAGATCCTCATGGAACCCATCTGGAAGCGGTCCCACACCAATCCTATGGTTCTCCTACCCAAAACCTGGGAAACCTAAATCCCAACTATGTTTCTTCTGCCCAGCTATTGGCTATTGGCTTCTTTATTTACCAATCAGAAATAACTTGAGGGAAATGTCACAGGTCTATGCACAGACTCCAGGTTTTAAGGGCCTGCATTTAGCATTACAATAGACAGCAAGAGGAAACCTCAGCACACAACTGAAGTGGAAACTTAAGGGTTCTTTAGAATTATTTGCATGGTGTTTTGCTGGGGCAAACACATGAGGAAACCTTTTGTTAAAATGGACACAGGTGTGAAAGACTCATGAAAGAATGTTTTACAGAAGCAGACACAAGAGAGAGGATGTTCTGCTAAAGCAAGCACATGAAAGGACATACAATAAAATAGTCTTTGCTAAAAACACACATGTATTAGTCTGCCTTACATTGAGTAGTTGAGCTGCATTTGTCAGGACTCCATAGAGAGAAACACACTACAAAATTTTTGGTGGTATACTGCAGTTTCTTGTTCCTTCCATGGACTCTTGCTGAGGCAAGACCCCCTGCGAAGGCAAGATCTGTTCGTAGGAAAGGTACACGGAGGACACATGATGTTTAGAGGGTATAAACAGGACTCCAAGGAGTGACAGAGAGAGCTTGGCTTGCTGGTACAGCTAGCTGTGCAAAGCTTATGGGTCTTGCATCTTAGCTGATCTTCCTTTCCCTGAGAGAGGCACAGCCGAGAACCTCTCCTGGTATTCTTGTTGAACCCTCCTGCTGACTCAAGGCAAGGTTGAGGCCTGGCTGGCTATCTCTGCTAGGTCATATCACCACTGTTGCTAACTCTACAGAACTGGTCTGCTGCTGTATCCATGAGGTATTTGTGAGTGGATCCGAGAGCTGCTGCCGCCTGCTAACCTATGAACTAAACTGATGGTATTCAACCTTTCAAAACAGGTCCACTCCCCTGATCCCCTGCACCCCTGCATCCTTTCTTTTCCACTATCTTTGGTGGGTGGTGGGCTACAAGGGAGGCTAAAGCATTTAAGAACCATCATTAAAACTAAAATTTTAAATAATTAAACTTACAGTCACCCATTGTGTCTGCTTCTAATGAAGAAGAAATGGCAGATTATGAGCAGTGAGCAATGTTGCTTAAGGAAATTGGTAAAATGGCAGCTGGGTGGTATCCTGCCTTGATCCCAGAAGGGGCTTTTTTGGGTTTGCTTTGTAGTTTTTATGTATACTATTTTGAAAAAGTTTAATGGGAAACCAGACAATTCTCTTCTGTTAGAGAAGATAGCAGAGTTGGCTATGCATTTAGAGGGTTTGTGGATAGAGGAAGAAGTACTTGGAAAACACAAAGGGCCAATGTGGGGAGAGAAAAGCTTATACTTGGTGAATGAGAACAGAAATGTACAGCACGATGAAAGCAGGAAACAAACTAGGCTGGAAGGTAAACTGCCACCCTGCCCTGTTTCTAGGGGTCTGAAAGAGCAGGACATGACACACACATATAACAGGTTAAGGTGCAGCCAAGTGTACCACCAAAGAATTTGCTTTGGCCTACACAGGTACCGTCACCCTTCCTGGTCTTTGTGCAACATATGTGTTAATAACATATGCATAATAAATGTGTAACTACACATTTATTGGAAATAATGGCAATTATGGGGATACCTGCACAAATTACAACTGCTCCCGCATATGTATCCAATAAGATTAAGCAACTCTTTGTACATTACAATATAAAGCATGTTGCTGGTATACCATGCAATCCCACAGGACAAGCAATTATAGAAAGAGCCAATTGTACCTTACAAGTGGTGCTGATTAAACAAAAAGGGAGAGTAAAAACCTCCAGGGACAGACTAAATAATGCATTGTTTATAATAATGTACTCTCAATTTTCTTAATGTTAGTGAAAAAGGAACAACAGCAGCTGAGAGACACTGGGTTATTGAAAAAAACTGTGGAACTAGACCAACCAATATACTTTAAGGATGTGTTGACATTAGAATAGAAACCTGCAATAGTTTTAAGATGGGGACATGGTTATGCTTATATATCTACAGGGAATGAAAAAATATGGATACTAATAAAACTTATTAAAATCAGATCTGAACAAGGAAAATCTTTTATCATTGGAGACATGGATGACTTCACAAAGCAAATAGCCCAAATAATTCACGGACTGTCTCAATTACTGATTTCTCAAAAAAATATGCATACAAATAAACTTCAAAAGGGCTAGCCCAAATAATTGATCACAATGAGACAGACAATACGTAGACTGGACAGACAAGGCAGAGACTGGATAAATACAGAGACTGGGTAACAAATGCTATAGCTAGATAATACAGAGACTGGATAAACCCAGAGACTGGGCAATAAATGCTACAGCTACCTTTTTTTCAGGCTAACCATTTATTTCCCCCTTGGGTCTCAAAACAGGAATTCTTCACCCCAATTCATCAGGAAACAAATATATGTAACAAGAACATCGTTCCAATCCGCTAAGTTGGGGTGGATAGTTTTGGTTACTTGATGTGTTATGGTTGTTATCATTTAGGGTTTTAGGTTGTTTTGCTCAATTATTGTTTATTGATAAAAATTTAAGTTTTTTGTTTAATTATTGTATATTAATAGAAATTTAAGGTTTTTTCTTTATTGTATATTGATAGAAATTTAAGTCTTTCATTTATTTGTATATTGTATTTAATTAGTGTATATTGAGAGAAATTTAAGTTTTTTTCTTTAATTATTGTATATAGATAGATATTTAGTATTTTTTGTTCATTGTATAAAGATAGAAATGTAATGTTTTGTTATACTATTGTTTGACTATATTGTATATAAGCTATTTATTGAAAATATGGTGGTTCTTATAATTATTTCTAGTCTATATAGATCATTAATGTTAGAGAAAAGAACAATTCTTAAAAAGGGGTATATGAAGTAGAAACTTAAGGGTTCTTTGGAAAGTCAGTTGGATGGTGTTTTGCTGGGGCAAACACATGAAGAAACTGAAGGAACATTTCATTACATAGATGGGAGTTGCTCCAAATAACCTTTCTAAACAAGTCTACTTTCCCAGTATCCTTTCTTTTCCACTACCTCTGGTGAGTGGTGGGCTACAAGGGAATTTAAAGTGTTAAGAACCATCATTAAAAATAATTCTGTGGTATGGGAGTTTTAAATAATTAAAGTTATACACAATCTTCAGAAGTGATCTAATTTTTAATCACAAAAACTCTAACTTCATATCTGGACTGACCATTAATGAATTCATAGCTGCTTGGGCCATTAGGAGGTGAGTTCTCATTGGAAGAAGTAGGTTGTTGGGTATATTCTCTTGAAGGCTTGATCTTGTCTTGGGTCCTTTATTCCCTTTGTGTCTTCTGGCTTTCTGATGGCCATAAGGTGTCTCCATCACATCCTCTTACTACCTTGGTATTATGGCTTGATGGCTTGAGTCAAGGTCAAACTGATGGATGCAGCCAAACTTTAACTAAATCATTTGAAATTGGGAATCAAAACAATTCTTTTTTCATTTTAAATTGTTTTTCTAGTTTTTACAGTGTTGAAAAACTGACTATCACAAGGGAACAGGACTATAACAAGGGAACATCACAACTCTTTCACAATATCAATCTCTTATCAAATAAGTCAACTTCTTCATAACCACTTAGAATTTTTAACAGTACAAACTCATGAATTTAATAATTCAGAAAATAATTTTTAATGATGAAACTGAGTGCAATTTGGAAGGGACTTGTTTTCTAGATATTCTGTATTTGGAGAAGATACAATAAAGGATTTTGTCTTGCTCAAAGAGAAGGCCTGGCTTTCCCTCAACTTTACAGGCTTGTATGTTTTCTTAGGGACCTTAGGTCAAAGAGGTTGGTCTGATGTGACTTGTGTTGAGTTCTGGCCATAGCCATGTGACCTTAGGTTAGATAACAACTACAAAAAAAATCAACATGATATGCACTTCAGATTAAACAGTAGTTGTAGTACTGGAATCTGAGATTGTTCCGTCAATACTGATTACACTAATACATCAATAAGGTATGTATGATGAATTCCCTCCAGAAACTCTGGGCACCAAGAGTTATGGTGAATTTCTGAATGACAGTGCATATTATTCATACAGGTAATTCCACTTTTGAAATGCTCTCCTTTATGTGAGCCCAAACTTTCAAGCTTTACCATTAGTAATTCAGAGCCACTTTCAGGAGTTCTTTGAGTCTTTCTGGCAAATTTTCACTCCAGTAGTTTTGTTCTCTTCTCAGCCTTATAATTGAACTTAAAAAAATGATGGTGTCAAGGAGTTTTAATTCAGTAACATGGTTGCTCTGGCTCGGGAATCATATCCAAAGACCTTCTAGGACTGTGTGAACCAGTTGGAATACAAATACTCCTTCACTCCCTGGAGACAGAGGCAAGCAGATCTCTAAGTTCAAGGCCAGCCTGGTTTAGAGCATGTTTCAAGTAAAGAAAAGTTTAGGTCCAGGCATGGTGGTACATACCTTTAATCCCAGCACTCAGGAGATAGAGGCATGCAGATGTCTGAGTTCTAGTCAGTTAGGTCAGTTGATCCAGTGATCTGGGAATCAGTTGAGAGTCAGTGCAGTGGAGCTGAGTTCATGGCAGTTCATTTGGTGGAGTTCAGAGGCAGTTTTACCTGGACGTTTTACAGACACAGGTTACACAGAGAATAAGCTAGACATACGTGAAGACAGAAAGAGCCAGAGAATTAGGAGCCAGAAGATTAGAACAGATTGCTAGAGTTAGTTTGCTGCCAAGCAGAGCAATTCAGTGAGAAGCCCAGGGAAACCAAATTGAATTAGCTTGGAGAGGAGTTTGAGCCAGAATATCTGAGTTGAATCAGCTAGCCACCATTCAGAAAGAACTAGAAAGGGTGAGCTTATTCAGTAGTAAGTCTCAGAGGCTGAAAACATTCTAGGTCTACATTAGATTGTACAGAGGCCATAAGCTCCCAGGAGTAGGCCTAGGTTAGCAGACTGAGGCAGTGAGCCTGGGAGACTACAATTACATTAGAGTTTTTACTTCTCACCTTTCCCTTGAGGAATATCAAAGATTTTCTGAGTCATAAAAACTTGGCTGTCATTGTGAAAGCAACAAGCTGAACAATGATGAAGCATAAAAGTTTAACAGACTTTGCGTCTCCTTAATGTAAGCCCAAATGTTACAGTTTGAAGATCAGTGTAGGGTTAATGTATCTAAACATTTTTCCATAATTTTATTGTCTCTTTTCATAAGAAAAGACTTAAAAGACCTGAAGAAAAATGTTTCTTTCAGGTATCAACAAGACACGTATACACACACACACACACACACACACACATCAAACGTGCCCGCACATAATACATCACAAACACACACAAAGATTAAATTGAAAATAACAAAAATACTGAAATAACCTCTCAGTATAGGCAGGTGGGTTGCTTTTAATCAGAATACATTTGCTTTTAGCGTTGTCTGTTAAAAACTTTCTAGACATTTTTTCTTCTCTAAATAGGAGCCATCTTTAGTAGACTGTCTTTTAGTAAACATTTGGAAAACATTTCTGAGACTACAAAGGGGCCAAAAGTATTTCTTAAGAAATTAGTGAAGTATATTTCCTTTCAGTCTGGTATTATGTAGAAGTATGATTTAAATTGCCTGCACCATTTTAAAGTTTATAGATTTACACTTTAAAAGTAAAAGAGCTGAAGTAATTACATTTCATTTGGCCCAATGTACAAAAGATTATCTAAAAAAAAAGTTGATAGTTTACAATTACCTTCTTAAGTTTTCAGAATATGGCATATATTTTATATTTATGAATTATTTCAATTTGGACAATCCAGATTTCTACTTTGTGGAGCCAAATCTGACTAGTGGCTTGAGCATAGCACAGGAGATTCAGGTAGTACATTTTCAATTTTCATCTCTTTGAATCCTTTGGAAGTCTTATGGGTATAATCTAAATTATTTATGTAGCCTCCTTTCAATACTCATTTTTTATGCATTTATTGTGTTTCATTTATTGGGAAGATGGAGGAGATGGTGAAAAATAAAACATAAATCTAACCCGATGGTGATGGCTCTATCCAGCTGGTTTGAGTGCCAGCCTGCTATTACTTCCAGCTGTACTCTATATAGTATTATCTGCATGCTGCAGAGACTCTGAGACCCAAAAGTTCAGCCAGAAATTAATTAGCATCTCATTTGTAGTTGCGGTTTTAATGTACATACCACCCGGAAATCACTATCTTGGTTCTATAATTCCATGTTTGATCAAATCACTCTTCCTTCCCTGCTTCCTGGAAATGCTGTTTCTGAAAATTCCACAATTATGGGTCTAAGATTAGCAAAATATTTCTACCCAATTCACACCACCTCTCCTTGGATTCTCAGGTGGCCTTTCCACTTGGGAATCTGCCTCTGCTTTTTATTATAATGAATTTGCTTTTGCTTAAGTCTCTTCTGTATCTCTCCTAGTATTTTCTCTAGTGAGACCAAGAACCTTTGGGATCACCAATTCTACTCTGGTGATAAAATGAGTTAGACTGTAAACTCTTGAAAGGGTTCATAGAATTAGATGCCTCCAATCATGATAGACTTTTATCAAAACCAGCCAGTAATTCCCTTAATATGCTTCTCCCTTTCCCCAAATTCCTAGTATGCAAACATTTAGCGTCTACTTAGGAATATAGAGACTGGGATGGTCATATATTGCTTCTATAGTGCATGTAGTTCTTTGGATTGTGTTAAAAGGGACTCTCAGAGTGTCAAGGGTTTGTTTGTTTGTTTGTTTGTTTGTTTTGTTTCTCATAGAGTTCAGGTCACACCAGAGAAACTTTTATCACAAGATATGTCTTTCAAATTGCTGACAGTCTAGTAACTTCTCTTAATGAATCTTACCAAGTTTCATTAATACTTCATGATTCCTTTCACCTGAGTTATATTATTTTAATCTCTGAAATGAGCCTATCGTTACTGAGGTCTTCTTACCATAGCCAGTCTGGTAAACAGAACTTTCAATGGGTCTAGCAAGTGACGTTTATTAGTCAATCAACGCTGCTTCTATGCCTCGGGAAGAACGGGACTGAAAGGCTAGGGTGACAATGCATACCACATCTGCATCCTTGCTCATCAGTTCAAACTTAACAAGGCAGTTTTGTTTAGGTTAGCTTTTCTAAATTTGCCAGTAGCACCAGGCTATCGTCAGATGTTTTGTTTTGAAGGTCAGAAATAATTTCGGAAGTACTAAGTGGAGAATAATGAAACTCAGGGAAAACGAAACTTGAGCGTAGAGCAAGTGGGCGGAACCATCTAGTAACCACGGGACTCTGACTCACTGTTTTCTGCCTTCTGTAGGAATTAAGTCCGCTGTGCAGTTACCAGAGCCGAGCGGGCATTGGGGAGGGAAAGAGGAGGCAGCCGCTGGGAGCCAACAGCCCGAACGCTGAAACAGCTGAACCGTGCTAGCGGCAACGACACCCGACCCCACCCTCCATGGGAGGGGCTTAGGGCGGCCGGGTGCTGACGTACGACGTTGGCGTCGCGGCCGGTGACGTTAGCCGGCGCCCGCCCCGCCCCTCCTCGTCTCTCGGCGGTGGTGTGGGTTTGTGGGTCGGTGCCAGCTGGGCAGCCCTCGCGCGCTAAGCTGTGACAGCGAGCGACCCCCGCCGGCCTGCGTGTGCTGCGGGGGAGGCCGGGGGCAGCCCTCCGCTCCGCCGGAGTGAGAAGAGGACGCAAACCTCCAGGGAGGCCGGAGGCGCGTGTGGCGGCGGGGCTGAGGTGAGCTAGGGAGAGGGAGGGTGCGGGTGGCGGCGCCGGATTGGGCGGTGGGGCGGGTCTCAGAGTCCGGAAGAGCACGGGCGGACCGAGCTGTCATCCCTTAGCTGCGCGTCCCGGCTCACCTAAGTTTGTAGGTGGGGGTTGGGGTGATTGCCCACGTGTATGGACAGAGTGACCACAAGATGAAAAATTTTCTGTTCTATGCTTAACCTGCTCCCCTCCCCCTTATTTATGTTACAAATTCCTAGCAACTTCGCGTAGATTTTGGGAGGGAAGTCTGTTGGGTTGTGTCCCCCCCCCCCCCAAAAACACAGAGACGTGAGTGCATTGGGTTACGGAGTTGAGGGTTGTGGGTGAATTTAACAATCAAAGGACCCTAGAATGTGATTTTTTTTTTTAAATAAAGAAATGCCTGCTAAGGAGGTGCTGGTTGGCAGATGAAGTGGTTCTTGCTAGGATGCTGTGGACTCATGTATTTATTTTCCTTTACTTTAAAAGAAACTTAAGTTCAGTCTCTAAGGAGTTTGATATGCGTGGCATCACAGATGCAGTCTAATTGCTATCTGTGGTGTGTTTTGTTTTGTTCTTGGGTTAAAATTAGACAGAATAGTCACTATATCTACCCTCTTCATCCTTGTAGATTCATAAGCTGAAACATTGGTTTCCTGAGTTTGATATTTCTCAAGTTCATAATTCAGCTTCTGAGTCTAGTCTTGCTCTAGCTAATGTTTTGTATTTAGCTTTCCACAATGGTTATAATGCTAATGTTGCATTAAATGTTCGTAGAGATGTCAGTTAAGTGTAGCTTAGTGTTATTTACATGAGGGAATTAATTTTGCAAGACTTAGTTTTCTCGATCCTTGTTTTTGAGTAGTTTTTTTTTTAAATAGTTCATTCATTCGTTCACTCTTCATTCATTCCCTGGCACTATAGGTGGTCTAGGACATAGAAATTCTCTGTTCTCATAGAACTTGGTATAGTTAACTATCAAGCACCATTTTAGGAGGAATCTTTAAATTAATAATTGGAAACAAATTTCTGGCTGAAAAACATTTTCATTTTTTTTTCTAGTATTTACATTGGTTGTTTTGATACCTCACGTCTGGCATAGGATACAGAAAGTCTGCATACAAAACATTTCATAAGGAGCCTATATGATAATAAAATAAACTTACTACTCTAATACATCTTTCTTGAGGGTAGAGTTTGTATAAGCCTTTTTAGTAAAGAACAGTTTTCAACTTTGAGAAAGTGGATACATACAATTAAAATTTTAGCTCATGAACATCTACAAAAATAAATGAAGACTTACAGAGGAGATAATAAGGAATTGATTTGAACATTCCAAATCTGAAAACCCAAAATATGAGGTACCCCCAAAACTTCATTGCAAAGAACTTGTAAATAAACATCATGAGGAACAATTAGCCATATCTGAAGGCTACATCTCATCAGAGGTTTTATACAGTTAGGGAATTTTGAAGCTGTAGAGCTTTACATTGGATTTTACATCTTCACTATCACATATATTTTAACTCATTTATTTACCACCAAAAGTGAAAAAAAAAACAATTAAAATGGAAAAAGCAAGATCTATGTCTTTCAAGACTCACTGTCTATTACTTGACTTCATTTCTTCCTTATCACCTAATATTAAACCTTTTTTACATGTTCACTGAACTCATGTTTACATTTGTATACACACACACACACTCACAATTATATTCATACACAAGAGAGAGAGGGAGGGGAAAGGGGGGCACTAAGCTAGTAGCTTAGTATAAGAGAGACATGTTTTTCTTTCTTTCTGAGATAATATGACCTCACTAAGGGCCATTCTAAGCCAGTGGTTCTCAACCTTCCTATTGTGGCAACCCTTTAGTACAGTTCCTCATATTGTGGTGACACTCAACCATAAGATTATTTCATTGCTACACTACTTCATAACTGTAATTTTACTACTGTTATGAATTATAATGTAAATATCTGACATGCAGGCTGATATGTTACCCTCTGAAGGGTTGTGACCCACAAGTTGAGAACTGCTCTTCTAAGCCATTCATTTTCCTGCAAATTTTGTAATTTTAGTTTTCTTTAACGAGCTGAGTATTCCATTTCATTCATATATATATATGACATATAACTATATATATATGAATCATCATTTGTGGATGAACAATTAGGTTGGTTCTATTTCCTTTTTGTAGTTAATAAAAAGAAAAAACAGTAAACATGGGGTTGCAATTATCAATATGTTATAATAAAGAGTTCTCCAGGAGTAAAACAGGTCATATGGTAGTTCTATTTTTGAGGATTTTCCAGCTTATTTTCATAATGCCTCTATTAATTTGCACACCTACCAGCTTGTGGGTAAGGGTTCCTGTCTCCACATTCTCTCCAACATTTGTTATCAAATTTCTTGATAGTAGATATTCTGATGGGTGTTGTCTTAAAGTTTTAATTTGAATTTCCCTATTGGCTTTTAAAATACTAAAATGCTGAAGACTTTTAAACTAACTTGGTCATTGGTGTTTCTCTTTTTGAAAACTCTGTTCAGTTCATTAGCCCATCTGTTAGTTGGCAGTTTTATTTCCTTGATATTTAATTTTGTAATTCTTTGTAAATTCTGAATGTTAACTCCTTTTCTGAAGTACAGCTGGGAAAGACTTGTTCTGTGGGTTGTCTGTGCTGTGTTGATAGTTTCCTTTGCTATATAGAACCTGGTGTTTGGAACTTTTACAACTGACTTAACATCAGAAGAGGAAAGTTGAACATTATAGGCAAAATTATTAAAAGTACTGAATAAAATTAATCTGAGACTTTACAATATAAATGAATCTTGTTTAATTGTGGCCCCCCCATTGCCAAACATATTTCATTTTTTACATGAAGATATTCTAAAATCCAACAACAATCTGGGAGCACTTTAATTTCAAATATTTTGAATAATAAATTCTCAGTCTATACTTACTACTTATTTAGCAGCTATGGGAAAGCTTGCCTTATAATGTAAGTTATTTTAAGTAAGCATTGCAGTAACTTATTTCTTTGTTTTGCCCGGTTCACCACCTAGCAAATAGTCCTTATATAAAGCTTGAACTCAAGACTTAATCAAGTTTTAATTATCTTGAAAGGGGTATCAGAACTATTTTATGGTTCTTTTTCATTTTGGAGCTTAGAAAATGGAATTAGTAAGAGTTCCCTTTGGAAAATGACTCACAGAAGTGAAGGAAGACTACCCAAACCTAATGAGATGAGAAAGATAAGTGAGAATCTACTTGTAAAGATACATATCAATCACGAGGCAGGGTGGGGGGGAAAGGCAGGGCAGGCAGACAGAGACAGACAGAATGATATATAGAACTGAATTTGGATGTAATCAATGTTTGTGTCATTATAGGACACCCTCTCTGGTATAAACTTTCTTTCTGGTTTTATTACATCTTCACTTTTACTCTCCAAACAAAGTTAGGAATGGTGTTTATTGTCAAAAGTTTGTACTGGCTTGGTTCATTAGGCTGGAATTTGGTAGGGCACATAAATAAAACTCCTAGTAATAAGAAAGAAATTAATGGTTGACACTAAATGTTTTATGGTATGTTTTAATTAGATAATGGTGAATATTGATATTTAAAAAACAGAAAGCATATACTTTAGTACTGACTAAATACAAAATTGCAAAACTTCTGCAACACTTTCTTTGGATGATTATAGAAATATGCTTAATGTTCCTAGTTTATACTATTGGTGAGTTCTTCTTTAAACCCATGACTTAAACTTCTTAGTTTGGTAATACATGTTCTAACAAGCTTGAACTTCAAAAGAGGGAATGAATGTAACCTAACTCAGGATTATTGGATAATTAGGGAAGCAGCTGCTAAAACATGACATTTTTAGAGATTGCTATGTCATTTTAAGTTAAGTGAATGGGTAAGAAGACAAGGACTTATTAAATTAATGAAGAAAACTTAATTTCTACTCCAAAAGAAGAAATTCATGCTTACTGTTAAGACTACTTATGATTTTGGCCATGTCAAATGGAACTGTTTAGAAGTGTTAAATTCTCATATGCATAAATGGGAATAAATGTACCTTTTGTGTTGATTTAAGAAACTTAATTATAAACGTCTACATTGTTTTTAAGAAGAAATTAGCTTCATGGTGTTAATCATCGTACAAGAGTAATTTCAGTGTATCTTTCCCAGTTTGTTTGTTTGTTTGTTGCTATAGAGTAGTACCTTCAGGAACAGAAAGGAGGCTCACTAACCATTCTTTGCAAAGATATATATATGTGTGTGTGTGTGTGTGTGTGTGTGTGTGTGTGTGTGTATATATATATATATATATATATATATATATATATATGGCATATGAGTGTGGATACCTGCAGAAGTAGGAGAGGGTGTTAGATGTGCTGGGTGTGGTGGGTAAGAATGTCCCCCATAGGCTCTGGTACTGCTTGAGAAGGATTAGGAAGTATAGCTCAGTTGGAGTATGTATGGCCTTGTTGGAGGAATTATGTCAATGTGAATTGGCTTTGAAGTTAAAAAAGCCCAGTCTAGACCCAGCATCTAGCTTTCTTCCTGCTGCCTACAGATCTGGATGGAGAACTCTCAGCTCCTTCTCTAGCACCATGTCTGCTTGTATGCTACCATGCTCCCTGCAATGATGATAATCGATTAAACCTCTGAAACTTTGA